AAGCCCGAAGTGATGCAGGTCTCAGACGTTTACCACTTCGGTGAAACTTACGAGCACGGGTATGGTGCTGACAAACCTAGAAACAAGATCGAGGCGAACCGGGATGCGAACCCACAATCATAGGTTTCTGGCGTGCCCAAGGGACGCAACTCTGCACAGCGAATCGCGGCGCCTTAGACGACTGGGCCACCCCCACTATTAAAAACTTCTCACCCGAGTCAATCATCGTTATCAGAGCTCTCCTGATGTGGAGTTGTCACTTCCAATTCAAAGTAATCCAGGCTGACTTCCCTCTTACCTAGCAGTCTATTAAGGCGCGCAATTTACCATTCTTTGTCATTAAAAGTCTCCCGTTGTGTTGCAAAACGAATAGATTTCTTAAACGTTTTTCTTTACTCTTCTTCATTCTCTGTATCAGTAATGTAAGTCTAATTTAACCCAGTGAAAACGGATGGCCTCGTCGTCTAAAGCGCTGCAATTTGCTCTGCAGAGTTGCGTCCCCTGAACACGCCAGAAACCATTATGGGTTTGAATCCCGGTTCGCCCCGGTTATGTTTCTAGGTTTGTCAGCACCATGCTCGTGGGTTTCACCAAAGCGGTTAACGTCTCAGACCTGCATCACTTTTGGCTAGCCTCCCGCATTCAGCTGACACGCAGTGATATAATATGAATACTGTTCTAAGTGGCGTCAAACCAAACCCGGTCACACACCCACGCGCTCTAACTCAGGACTGTGATGCAGCCTAGTGGTTAATCAGCCCTTCCAAACATACAATTGCTTTCATGCTCCATGCCCGACCCCACTCACCTCACACACACATACAGTAATGTGAGTGAGTGAGTGAGTGAGTGAGTGAGTATGGTTTACTCGGCTTTTAGCAATATTCCAGCAATATCACGGCGGGGACACCGGTAAATGGGCTTCACACATTGTACCTATGTGGGGAATAGAACCCTGGACTTCGGCGTGAGGAGCCAACGCTTTAACCACTAGGCTACCCCACCGCCCGAGAAATGCGACTTATGCGTCAGCACAATGTTGGAACGACGACGTATAAAGTAATCTAATCACATTACTACGTACGACGTATAAATGTTAGTAATACGACGCATAAAGTAACACAATGTTAGTAATACGACGCATAAAGTAACACAATGTTAGTAATACGACGCATAAAGTAACACAATGTTAGTAATACGACGCATAAAATAACACAATGTTAGTAATACGAAGCATAAAGTAACACAATGTTAGTAATACGACGCATAAAATAACACAATGTTAGTAATACGACGCATAAAATAACACAATGTTAGTAATACGAAGCATAAAGTAACACAATGTTAGTAATACGAAGTATAAAGTAACACACTATTAGCAATGCGAAGAATACTGAGTTTATATTACAGTACAACATCCAAAGTATAAAGTAACAGAATGTTTGCAATATGAAGTATATTGTAATCTATATTACAGTACAACATACAAAGTATAAAGTAACACATTGTTTGCAATACGAAGAATATTTTAATCTATTTTGCAGTACAACATACAAAGTATAAAGTAACAAAGTTTTAGTAATACGACGTATATAGTAAAACAAAGTTAGTAACACATTGGTAATATAAGTAATTAGTAACAGATGTACATGTACACAGAACACCGTGACAAGAGGCGTTTTAACAGTAGGTCTGTGATCACCATCACTTAGGTTTTGCTGTGGCATACAACCATGTTCATAATGTCATGTAACCCATGCTTGCCGTACGAGACGACTATGCTTGTCGTAAGAGGCGACTAACGGGATCGGGTGGTCAGGCTTGGTTGATGCATGTCAAAATATCCCAGTTGCGAAGATCGATGCTCATGATGTCAATCACTGGATGGTTTGATGCAGACTCGATTATTTAAAGACCGCCGTCATGTAGCTTGAATATTGCTGAGTGCTGCGTTAAACAACAAAATAATGCATGAACAGGACGACTTACTACATCAGACTGAGTGGTCAGCATGAAAGTCCTGGCTGACCGGCGGTCTTTAATGTGTAAAGGCCAGGGTCGCTATATCGTCACCTAGCCTCTATAAAGAAATATATCCCGGTGCTCGGTCGGACAAAACCACATCATTATGATAATCAAGCTTTACAATAACTATACCGGGCCGACGCTGGGATTATCTTGAGTACATTCACAACATGTCCACGTATAAATATAGACCTTGCCCTGCAGTTGCTATGCTATGCTTGTATGCGTGTGAACAATACTTTTAGTACTCTGCATATTCTCAGATTACTTGCGAGAATTTATGAACGCTTGACGATCTATGTAGACTCACTTGCGGCTGATAATTCATAGTGCGCATATTTCAGTTATGTAATTCTACCATGACACAGAGAGAAACAGAATCACAGATGATCAAAATTATTCGTTTTCTAAAGGGTAACCTAGCCAGTAACATATTTTGTTCTTGGATGAACTGTTTTTAAAAGCATATATATTAGACAGTCAACGTTAAAGGCATACTTAGTCTTTTCTCAGACTAAAGACCATGTCGGGAGATTGAGTTGCGCCGATTTTTATGATGAATTTTCTCCTGTAAGAGTTCAAATATTGGCGTTTCACGCTCGTCACGCCGAATTACCGGTTTCTATACTAACTCCCCTTCGTCCCTTCCGTGACTAACTCGACATGGCTGTCACACTGATAAAAGCTTAAAAGCGGTGTAAAATGATACTCACTCGTCACAAGGGGAACTAGTCAGCCACCTTGTTAATTTTAATACTTTTTGCCACGACCCCCCCAAACCCACCTGTTGTATTTTATTGTACGACTTTCCTCTTCACATGTTTTGATATTGGAAGCATATAACCCTTCAAACGTCACTGTGAGTTACTAAGAAACGTGAATTGCTTTCACTTGGTATCCCTGAACGGCAGCTAGGGTTTACTTGATAATCGTGCCATCTGTCAACCCGAGAAGCCAGTGAGGAGCGCCCCCTACCGAGAGATCAAATACCGATAACTCTTCCAGGACAATGACGAGTGAAATACTTTAATTCTCGAGGTAGAAGCCAGAATGTGGGTTGTTCTCCACGTGTATTCCACCAACATGAGTCACGAGGAACAATGCCAGTAATTCTGAACAAAACCCCTGGTTCTTACCCTGTGATCAGGTGATAGTGGCCGTAGTTCATTATGAGTGGGGTAGATTTACGTCTTACAACGATCTACCACGGAGAGAGTCACCGCCATCGATACAGCCGTCAGAGATCCAACTTTCACCGCGTTTGTTTTTCTTTGTTCCTAAAAATGTTTTTGCGGACCTCCTTGACTAAGGAAACATTTTCAATGGGAATATTAAATTATCAGTAGATCGTGTTTTGTAGAAATAAAACATATTGATAAAGATCAGAAAAGTTTAAATTGAAACATTCACACTGAACCATTTATTGTCAACTCAAACACTGTTGTGTAAACTTTGTTATGGTTATATGTTAATTACCTATTTGTCCTCAATCACATACAGATGGTAATCCTCATGGCTCATTGTGGGGGAATATTCAGTATATTTTCACATAATTCTTAAAACAGAATATGTATCATCAGCAAAGCGAGTTCCTGTAGTGAATGCTTATATTCCAGGAGACAAACGTGAGTTGAGCGTCTACGATCTGTCTGCGAGTATATCTACAAATCCCGTTTATCTTATCCTGTTTAGTGTAAGGCGGTATAATAGACTTTGTTTTCGCGAATGTCACGCTAGGGATTAATGAGTGAGTGGGGTTGGGTTTAACCGCGCCTTGAACAGTATTTCAGTTAAAGCACAGTGTGGGAGTTGACAAACCTAAAATAGGCGAATTTGGTATTCGAACCCAAGATAATAGGTTTCTTTAGTCCCAAGAGACGCACTTCTGAGCAGCAAATTGCGGTGACTCAGACGACTAGGCCACCGTTTCCATTCCATAGGAGAAAGCCTGGCAAGTTATGTTCAGCGTGATTAGTGTCATTTTCCCGCATCCTCTCCTTGTGGGATTGTTGCTGTCCATACTTGCCTATCCTGTTCTGCTTACAACTGATACCTACTTGTGTTATCTGTGTTCATTCACGTCACGTGTCTCATGGTTGACGAGAGGAGTTAATGGGGAAATATTACCCTACCTTAAGTGAGAAGGATCAAAGTACACGTTATATTATAAATAATTGTTCCTAAGAAACAAGTGTTTGTGGGTATTAACTTCTGTAATGCTTACCCGTACATCATTCATGGACAGAATCAGCATTAAAACGATTCTTTTATGAGGCAATGATTACCAGTGCAAGGCATGTCACTATTTCTGTCACGCCTTTCGTCCTAATTATGATTCAATACTAAACTAAACACTACAGAACGTTTTGTTCGTTTGTTTGTTGTTTAACGCTGCACTTGGCAATATTCCAGCTATATGAAGGCCGTCTTTAAATAATATGGATCAGACAATCCAGTGATTGACACCATGAGCATCGATCTACGCAATTGGGATACGATGACATGCATCAACCAAGTCAGCGAGACTGACCACCCGATCCCGTTTGTCGCCTCTTACGACAAGGATAGTCGCCTTTCACGATAAGCATTTGTTGCTTAAGACCTATACCAGCCCGGATCTTCACCGGTTCTACAGAACGTGTTATCAAACGTACAACAAACAGATTGATTCGTGAAAAACGTTTATCATTCATGTGTAACTTAATGACTGACGTAAGAGTATATTATTACTTCATACTTTGGCTCAAACCGTTTCAAATTATTCAATGCGCACTGAAACACGAACATGAATAGATGCATGACCTTGGCGACAGCTTGGGTACAACTTGAATAACGTCTACTTCAACATTGAGGGTAATCTGGTACATCACCGGAAGGGGGCAATAGCTAAACCACTTTGCAAACGTCCTGGTTGGTTTTGTAAACAAACTATTATAGGTCAACGACCATATTCAACATTAGAAGCCAAAGGCATTTGAAACATGACGAGGGTGTGTAATACAATACGTCGGTCCAACTTGTATTTATGCTCCTTTATACAGCGGGAACGTTCAGTTTTTGTGGACGAGCAACCGATGATGATGATACGCGTGATCCTGTGTGTCGTTGCTGTAGCAGCCGCGACGCATGCTGCTTCCATCGACTGCACCAAGACCCTTATTTCCGGCGGCATGTCCAAGAACTTCAACGAGACCGTTGCTCATGCCATTCACTCGATGACAGTCCAGGGTCTCCGTATGTTCAGCAAACACGCCTCCGAGGACAACAACGTCCCCACCGTCAACCACGACCTCAGCGGAGTGAAGCTTGTACGTCCATACGCCCCAAATGACCTTCTGGGTTCAGACTTCAGAACGCACAGCATGAACACCATCGACAAGATCCTGTCCAATCTCGGCAAGCCAACTGATGGGCTTGGGGATAACTGGTCTCCAATAGAGAGAGTCGTACATAACTTTCACATGTGGGACCTATGGACCAGGATTCTAGACGTGTACAAGACCATGGAGAAAACAACACCATCGGATTCCGTCTGTCGTTGTCTTCTGGACACAAGAAGGAACGGTATCCATAAGGCTGTCCAGTGGGTTGCTGACCACTACAAGACAGGGACACCCATCACTCTCCTCAACAGATCAATCCCCAAACTTGCGGATGCTGCTTCGTGGGCCATTTGGAAAGACCGTCTTCTTCATTACTACACCCTGCCCGCCTTGACGGACGCTGCCACCTACCTCCACTGTGTTAACACGGCCATATAGAGCCCTCACAATCTGTGGACGTTTTTCTTCCATCTGGAACAAGTATTTGACTGATTCATTATATGTGTAATGAACACATGTGATTGATTGTTCGAAGTATGGTTAGCATATTCAACGCCTGAGGTGATTTGTTTCCAGAATACATCGATTATATCTAGTTTTGATTTTTATTATTTCTTATATTCATTTTTTGTATCTATGATTGATTCTACGAAACATCATGTTCCTGACGCTGATTTCAATGACGCTTCGGGAATGCTTAGAAAATACATTGATTTGTTCTATATACATGTAATTGAATTCAAATAGACACCTCTCCAAGGACTGGAAGCTTAATATTTAGGCTTAAAGAAGCTGTAGTCATAACCGTTACTGCAGATAAATAAACCGCGTCCTTGTTCCTCGAAACTGTAGTAATAATTTGCTTTATTTCATTTTTTACGAGTTTTAATTTACAAGAGTGATTTATTGGACATGGCCGTGATATTTAAAATAGGATGTTGTAAGTTATTGGCTTATCACGACGGGGCAGTGGTTTAATGTACCCTCTGTGTGGCCGTGTACCCAGAGTCGACAGTCAGTGGAACACACAAGGTACGTCAAACCGTATCCCCCGAGGTACAACCCTACAACCAATTCATCTTACCGTCATAAGGCGGTCGAGTAGCCTAGAGGTTAAAGCGTTCGCTCGTCACGCCGAAGACCCGGGTTCGATTCCCGACATGGGTACAATGTGTGAAGCCCATTCCTGGTGTCCCCCGCGTGATATTGCTGGAATATTGCTAAAAGCGGCGTGAAACCATACTCATTCACTCTTACCGTCATGTTTACGACAATTTGAAAAGCAACTGTGGCTATGATTTCTCCATCACCATTTCAATTTGTCGCTACATTGTCAGGTGAGCTCTGGAAGACAATACATTTATGTTTAGTCTCTGTACCTCAGGTAAGGTAAAGTCAATGTATTACACAATACCCAACATTTCGCTGTACGAAGCTTGTATTCCAACAACAAATTTAAAAACAGAATGTCTGTTTCCATGACGACAGGGCATATCGTTTTCCAGTCTTAGACCGTTGCCGCAGGAAACATGGGAATTTATCAAAACGGCATTGATAAATAAAATTCAAGCATCATTAAGATGTGATAATAGCACATTATGTTAAAACATATGACATATAGAAGGAAGACATGTGAATGCGGTGAAAATAAGTTCCAACTGTCTAGCAGCGGTACGGTTGTTATTCTGTTGGAAAGAATATTTCATTTTTAGATTCTGATTATAATGTCCAAAGGTTTCGTAACAAATTTAAAACGATGTTTTGCCACAATTCACTAATTTAAGTGTCGGTCCTCATTGATCAAGATCAAGATCAAGAGGTTTTATTGTACTTAAGGCCTCCGGCCCATATACAAAACAAGAGTACAAAGAGATAATAACCGTGAGTACAACTGCTGCATAAAATACATATGTGGAGACAATGTTACAAAGTGAATGTACACAATTATTTTACGAAGTGACTTCACGATACTATAAGATTCTTGCGCCGAGAAAGTGCATGATGAACAAAAAGTGCTAACCTTAGAATTGTTTTTCTATCATTAGTATTCAAACAGAGATTTACATGAATACAAATTTGATAAACGCAGGTATTTCTGTGGAATATTATGCTTACCTTAAATCAGTATAAACAGTACAAACAAGCAGTATATGAAGTTCATCCTCTATACAAGTTTGACAGAAAGGACACAATCTCATTGGCTTCGGGACAGAACGATGTTGTCCAATATTAACCATTATTTCAGACAATCCGAGACGAAATCTTGAATATGTTATGCGAAGAGATTTGTGTGTTATAACATTTAAATACAATTCAGGTTCAATCAACGATTTAAAAGATCTATACATGACATATCTTGAACTATTTTCAAGTGTCGATCTCCAATCCTGCTGAAACATTGATGGCATACTGGTGTTATAAATGACCCTATATAAGTGAATATGAGAATCTCAGCAGAATGTACTTCGCGTGTTGAACAAGGCCCAGTGCACTGTAATATCACCAGGAAAAAACACAATGGGATCAGTTCCCTCAGACTAACCTGATCTTCCAAGTATAGGAGAAAATACACCGCGAAGGTTTGGGTTGAAAATGTAAAACCTGAGAGGGGGAGGTGGGGGTGGGGGTGGAGGTGGGGGTGGGGGTGGAGGGGGAACAGCGGTAGAGTCGAGGACCGAGAGCTATTTTGACTCAGAGGGTTAACATTTTCAACCCAAACCGAGGAGAAATATTTCTCTGACTTATATACCGCCGAAACAACTTTCTTAATATTTGTTTTATAGAGACCTCCTCCGTGGTCTAAAGGTAGAGCGTCCGCCCGGAGAGCGGAAGGTCCGGGGTTCGATCCCCAGCCGCGTCATACCAAAAGACGTTAAAAGATGGTACTTGTTGTTACCCTGTCTGGCGCTCGACATTAAGGGGCTAAAACAAGGACTGGTCGGCTCGGAGTCAGTATACTGTGTCTGAGTGGGGTATTCATGTTAAACTGCGGCATGGTATCTCAGTGAGCTAGCACTATAAATCGGCATCAATCCGGACTAGTACAAGCAGCCACACACACACATACATGTGCCAGCACGTCGCTATATAAGTGCAATAATCTTGGACGCGACGTTAAACCCCATTTCACCTCACTGTTTTATAGTATGTGTGAAAGTGCGTTCCGACAGGATAAAGAAACGGTCGTAAAATATATCTGGTCAGGAAATAATTATGCACGAAACATCAGGCCCAGACTAACATCGAGTCTCTGAAATTAACATATTTGACAGAAAAAAAAGTTGTTAAATTATAGTTATAAAATATAATAAATAGGAGCTAGAAATTTTCTTCATTTCCTGATACTGCAGTAACATATGACTTGCCAAATAGGATAGACTTGCATGGGCTGTATTGTTTATATTTTTTCAGGGTCTGTATGACAGACTTCGTCATATGGTACCTTCTAATAAAGCACGTATCTTTAACGGATATCCTTGTAATGGTTAGAGTGCCTGACTACTGATTAGGAAGTTGTGTGTTCTGTTCCCGTCATCCATAATGAAAAAGTCCTTGTCATCGATTTTAGACTATTGAACGTTGGAAACTTTGTCTGCTACTCAACTCATCAGGTGTTACCAGGAAAAAGCGAAACCTTATACCCGAGTTTATTCCCAAAAGAACAAGTAACGTCCAAAACAATGGTCAATATCCGTGCTAGGTTTATAACTACAGTTACTGTATTGACCTGGGTGGCCTTGATATTCCCCTTGATACTTCTGAAATACTGCTTAAAGCGGTGTAAAATCTCACCGTTGCGTGTCTTCCCGTTATGGGTTCAAGAAGTCCAGACAAAATCCAAATTCGAAAATAACTCCGTAAATTGGTTCACTGAGTTTGGGTTGGTATGTGGTTGGTTTGTTGTTTTACGCCACACTCAGCAATATTCCAGCTATATGACGGCGGTCTGTAAATAATCGAGTCTGGACCAGACAATCCAGTGATTGACATCATGAGCATCGTTCCACGCAATTGGGATACGATGACATGTATTAACCAAGTCAGCGAGCCTGACCACCCGATCCCGTTAGTCTCCTCTTACGACAAGCATAGTCTCGGCAAGTATGGGTTGCTGAAGACCTATTCTACCCCGGATCCTCACGGGTCAAGATGGCATGGAATACACCTAGGCTAGTATATTGAGCATGAACAGGTTCGAATCGTCCTCGTAAAAGTAAAATAATTTAGAGCAAAATTATATTTTATTACACTACACATGGGGGTAAAGCCAATTTATATCTTAATCATAATGCTCAGTTAAAATCATTGAAAATAGTTGTATACTCTCCCCTGTGGGTGATATTACGAGTATAAACACTGCAGGTAAACACCGCCTCCACAACATACGCTGACAACATTGATTGCGCCGTTCACTACCACACAACTGAACAATGTTTACATTCGAACGGTAAATCTTGTTTCGATACGTAGAGCATAACAGTAATCCATTTATCTGATAAGAATCATGAAGTAAGGGTACAGGGTGAAAGGCGTAGTGCATGCTATGTAGGTAAGGTCAGGTTTAAATTTACCGCTCACTGTAGGCTAGAGCAGTGTTAGTGTCTGTGTATGACTGGTAACAGGTGTATAGTAACACAGGTATGTGTCTTTAACAAGACACAATGAACGCAGGGCCGTCATAGTTTTATTGAAACAAGACTACGTTGCTTTCACCGAGGACTTCGTACTTCTCATAGGAATAAGTAATCATACGGAAAACAGACAATGGCAGACAATACACCAACGTCTCAGATTACATCGATCAAGGAAAAGTTCGAGGAAACTAAGGTTGGTACACGATGACATTGCACATAACGGGTTTTTTTCATACAGCTAATGGTATTTATACTCCAACAAATATGTAGCTTAATAATTTCTATTTTGTTATAACCGAAAACTAATATTTGTAATTATGATGACATGGACTATATGACTTACAAGATCGATTAATCAACTGTTTTAAACATGTTTTGGCATGGTAAATTATTTCTCACTCAAAGTGACATGAAATGAAACCTTGTTTATCCGGTTACATTTTCAAATGAATTAGTCCGGATTAACGAGTCATGGCTGCAAAGTAATGTCAGTATATGGGCCCTGTCGATGCCATTTAACTGCAGACCCGTGAAGATCCGGGGTAGAATAGATCTTCAGCAACCGATGCTTGCCGTAGAACGCGACTATGCTTGTCGTAAACACATTGGTAATATTAGTAATTAGTAACAGATGTACAAGTACACAGAAACACCGTGACAAGAGGCGTTATAACAGTAGGTCTATGCTCCCCATCACATAGGTTTTGCTGTGGCATACAACCATGTTCATAATGTCATGTAACCCATGCTTGCCGCAAGAGGCGACTAACGAGATCGGGTTGTCAGGCTCGCTGACTTGGTTGATGCACGTCATCGATCCAACATTGCGAGGATCGATGCTCATGATATCAACCACTGGATTGTCTGGCCCAGACTCGATTATTTACAGACCGGCGTCATATGGCTGGAATATTGCTGACTGCGGCGTTAAACAACAAACCAACCAACCAACCCTTTAACTGCATATTAACGCCATGAACAGTATTCGTACAGATTACTGGGTTTCCGGAATAATGGAGTCTGGACTAACGAATTCGAATGTCACTGCATTATTCTTCCCTCACTCACTCACTCGCAACTGTCTTTCAGCCCGTGAGATCAGGAACCTCAGCAACGGCCTATGCCACCCGGAAGACAGTGGCGCAAGGCATGCTAGACTTTGCACTTCTAATGGCGAACGCATCACAGATGAAGGCCTTGGTGAAGTCCAAATCTGTCTCCCATGACGCCATGTTCGTTGTTCTTCTGTTCCTCATCGCTGTATCCATAATACTACAGATCATAACTGGCATCATCATCGCCGTCCTTGGAGCTATGGACGTGCATGACGAGGCCGCACACCTCCGGGCACATCGACTCAATAACACCACTGTGGGACTGATACTTGGGATAACTGTCATCAATGTGTTTGTAGCGGCATTCGGTATGGATTTATGAATCGCTGGGTCTGCAACTATGACATTCCAAATGTGCTGAGAATCTGTGGAACCGATTATTGTTATTACAAAATCTATGTGTGTGCACCTGACACATTCATATACAAAATGGACAATGATTCTTTTAAAGATCACGTTTAGACACTGGCACTTGAACATTGCGTTATGATTTACAAAAATTTAATCTATTTTATCAAGTAAACTATGTGACTACAAAAATACATTTCAAATAGAGTATGGATCTTGAAGAAAGCACACACACACACACACACACACACACACACACACACACACACACACACACACACACACACACACACACACACACACACACACACACACACACGGGTGTCCCAGTCATCTGAGGCGCCAAAATTCGCTGTGCAGAGTTGCGTCCCTTGGGCACGCCTGAACCCAGCGACTGTGGGTTCGAATGCCGGTTCGTCCCGATTGGGTTTGAACATTAAGCTGACGCGCCGTGATACAGGAATACTCTTCAAAGCGGCGTTAAACCCCACTCACCCACTCTCTTTAATGTACATAATCTGAGCCGTACTAATTGACATCGTCATTTCATTTTACACGCATGCCAGTCGTGTCTTCATCCGTTCTCATGGCGGGGAGTATTATGTACATTGGTCCAAATTACAATAATTTGAGGCATAGACGTTACAGGAATACTAAATGAAGTATTGCCGGGATAGAATGAGGATCGGATGGCAAACATTTATATTCTTAGCCTTTTCAGAAGGCTGTTGCCGTGCAGTAAGGATAGATATGAAGAGGACAATAATCCTCTACCAATAAAGAACTTGATTGATTATTCAATTTCCTGTAGTAATAGCCGTCATCTTCACATCACTTAGGTTTGTCTAAGTTAGGCAAATAGATCAGTTTACGCCGCCCTTGACGGATGGGTTAGCTCTCACAGAGGATAATCAGATGCATCTGTGAAAATCATCGAATCATGATCACAGATTTAATCAACCAATTAGAACACAATTCCACAAGTTCTTCTCGCGTAATCCTCGAGCTATTGACTATGGACACCAATTACCCAGCGAAGCCAACATGATATTGAAAAAGGAGTCTGTGTCACATGCACGCAGTATACTGGCTCCCTGTAGACCAGTCATAGTGTTATCACCTTAATTCCACGCACCAAACTTGGTCACTATCAAGTGCCATCTTTTAAAGGTGAGTGGTTGAGTATGGTTTTACGCCGCTTTTAGCAATATTACAGCAATATCACGGCGGGGGACACCAGAAATGGGCTTCACACATTGTACCCATGTCGGGAATCGAAGCCGGGTCTTCGGCGTGACGAGCGAACGCCGCTAGGCTACCCGACCGCCCCCTTTTAAAGGTGAGGTGAGGTGGATTTGGGTTTAACGTCGCGTCCAAGATATTTGTACTTATATTGCGACGTGCATGAAAGCTGTTGCCGTGCAGTAAGGATAGACATGAAGAGGACAATAATCCGTGCGTGCGTGCGTGCGTGCGTGCGTGCGTGCGTCCGGACTGATGCCGATTCATAGTGCTGGCTCACTGAGATACCATGCGGCAGTTCAGTTTAACATGAATACCCTACTCAGACACAGTATACTGACGCCGAGCCGACCAGTCATTGTTTTAGCCCCTTAATGCCAAGCGCCAGGCAGTACAAGTACAAGTACAAGTACCACCTTTTAACGTCTTTTGGTATGACGCGACCGGGGATCGAACCTCGGACCTTCCGCTCTCTAATCGGAGGCTCTACCACTAGACCACAGAGGCGGTCCCATCTTTTAAAGTCTTTTGGTACGACTCAGCCAGTCCTTGGTTAACCAATCACCGACCTTCCACTCTCCGACCCTCTATCTACTAGACCACAGAGGTGGGCCCGTTAGGACGAACATCCATCTAAATACTATGAATACCTAGGTGCTATGTGACAAGCCGATCCACATTTCGCCACCTTTTAAACACGTGTTTGTGATATCAGTAACTGGCGACATGGTTTCAACATGGAGTAATGTCTTACAAATTAAGTTTCGGCTGAACTGATTTGTGCCGTGTACATTGATGACTCTCTCATTAAGACGAAAATGTTTATCTTTATAAAGTGAATTGAAGCAAACATCAGTTATTTAAACAAACTTTCTCTGTTGAAAAATATCATATACTGTATACTACGGTTATAACGAACTCAGTGGACCACTAATTTTAGTTCGTTATAACCGTAGTTCGTTATAACTATATAATTATACAATATCTATACAGAAAATGGCCGGGATCAAAAATTAAGTTCGGACGCCTTTTCCACATGACCAAAGAGGTTAACCCCGTCAGCAAGCTGACAAGGTAAGGATGTCATCTGTGGGATGACTCCACGCCCTGCTACATACTCCCCCGTCAACAAAAGGCACGTCCCGGGCCGCATAGTAGGGTACTGAGGCTTATTTTGTTCAAATCTTATATGAACGTGCTCAGCCCCACGTTGGGCGCCAATGTAGCGGCCATAACATTTCCGAGTCCCGTGATGGGATTCGAACCACGGACCTTCTGATCAGAGGTCGGACGCCTATTCCACATGACCAAAGAGGTTAACCCCGTCAGCAGCTGACAAGGTAAGGATGTCATCTGTGGGATGACTCCACGCCCTGCTACACATATCATCGATCCCAATTGCGTGGATCCATGCTCATGATGTCAATCACTAGATTGTCTGGTCAAGACTCGATTATTCACAGACCGCCGTCATATAGCTGGAATATTGCTGAGTGCGGCGTGGGGCATCATGGCTTGATGGTGATGAAGCCTATGCCCACTGACTATTTAGAATCAGGACAAACTTTGTATGATATAAGTATATTAGTATTCATTAATGTAGACTAATGAGGCAAGGGTTGCAACATATCGTGTTGGTTAAACATGTCACTGAATTGAATTGAATTGAATAGAAAAATGGTAGTAGCATAGGTGTGCGTACGAGAAGAATACAGTAAACTACGGTTATAACGAACACGCTTATAACGAACTAACGGATATAACGAACTAACTTTTTAGTCCCGACTATATGATGTAGTTATGCTGTATATATGCTTATAACGAATTATGGTTATAGCGAACTAAAATTAGTAGTCCCTTTGAGTTCGTTATAACCGTAGTTTACTGTAGTAGAATTGTTAAGTAATATCATGCTTGTATTAGCAGGAATGTCACCATAAACTATGTAACGAGCACACAGATTGCGAGACTGAATACGGTTTTGTTTGAAGTTTCAGTCTATTGGGGTTCTTGTTTCTCAAGCCTAAAATGTTTCCCAAGAACACGCTAAATCTTCAAAGGAAACAGTTATGTGCTGCTAAGAAATCAAGGTATCGTTTGTTTTTTTGTTTGTGCATGTGTGTATTTAACACGCGGGTCTTGAATAATCGATCAGACAATCCAGTGATTGACTGAAATTGAGCCACGATGCACGCTGTCGGAGTACGGTGAGACGCGATCAGCCAAGTCACCTTACCTGACCACCCGAGCCATTAGATCGTCACTAACGACCAGCAGAGGTTGCTGGGAACATAGCCCTTGATACACCCTGGGACCGTGGTTAATGCAAACTACAAACTGCATCATTGATTCATAACGTAAATAGTGCAAATCAAATATTGTTTACTGATGAGAGGATAGATTCGTCATACAATTTCAAAACAGCAAGTAATAAGTTTGAATTAAGTCAGTTTAAAGCATCAGTTTATCAACGTATGGTGCTCGTTTTGGGCAAGTGTCTGGACCTCATCATTTTGAGGTGATAGTTTTATAAACATACCTTACAAATAACTCGGATGATAAAACGCAATTTGCCATTGACTATACACGTGACTGAGGTTTGGACATTTGTTTCATATGACCAATATCTCAATGTTGTACGACTAGGAACACACCCCAGGCAGACCTTCGGAACATTCTCTGTCATAGAAGCCAAGCGGGAATGACAAGAGTTCCGCTTCCACCGATACTTCACATGATGGAATACGAATACTACCTGTCATCTTCCAATTACTGAATAGTCATGCTGGCACTCTTCAAGACATGGCCTATATCGTGTGACCATCCCAATGTCACTGACAGACGAGTGGTTCACATGTAGGTGTCGTTGTCTGAAACATGCATTTCAGCTGTCGCTGTGCACGGAGCGTAAAGTGATTGTTCGCTCTAGGCTTTGAAACTGTGAACATCTGATATTGCTTTGACTGGCTGGAACAACGGCGTCTGAATAGATGAAACTGTTCAGGTAGGTACCTACCATCTGTTTGTGGGGATCATGTAGCTTGTGTTATACTTCCCCACTTTTGATATGGATATGTATCTTTCCATGATACACAAAACTTATTCTCATGATGTGTTAAATTCAAATAGAAAGACAAATCTATGTATCTCTATCAAAATGTGAGTAGTGTCGCTTAAGTTGAATCTTACCACCTGCTACTCTGCCATTACTGGAGACGATTTGGAAAACAGTGCAGTAACAATGGTCTTGTTCTCACTCATCTTAACAGGCCTATGTTTTGTTTTGTGTCACTGTAAAGGAAATTAACATAGATGAATCATACGATACTTGCACTTGATCATCTCGATATTAGAACAGCCCCCTCCCCCATCCCAAGTGCTATTGTTAGAATGCTGCCAGACTTACTGGATAACAGGGTGTACATGTTGGTGTCTTTCTTGATAAAATATTGTAGTCAGCACATTAGAGGCCAAACATTACGACCGATTTAGTTGTAAAAATAGATGTTTCTAACTTGATACATTTCAGGGAAGGTTATTGTACCATGGTGATAAAATGTGATAGTGGTAATACCTTAAACATTGTGTTTTTGTCGCTCAGATGAATAGGGAGTGAGTGAGTGAGTTGGGTTTAACGCCGCGTTTAACAGTATTCCAGTTATATCACGGCGTGTCAGCTTGATGTGGGAGGAAAGCCTGAAGTGATGCAGGTCTCAGACGTTTACCACTTCGGTGAAACCCACGAGCACGGGTATGGTGCTGATAAACCTAGAAACATAATCGGGGTGAACCAGGATTCGAACCCACAATCATAGGTTTCTGGCGTGTCCAAGGGACGCAACTCTGCACAGCGAATCGCGGCGCCTTAGACGACTGGGCCACTCGTGCCCCCGCATAAATAAGGTGGCGGTGAAGCAGCCTAGCGGTCAAAGCGGTTGCCTTCACGCCAATACCCCGGGTTCGATTCCCCGCACGGTTCATGGTCTACAGTTAGAAGTGATTCGTTTCATGAAACAAAGACAAAATGTTTTTCAAGCGTCTGAAGAGCCCCACTCCGGCTGCACGTCCGAGGTGTTAATGCCTTTGGTGAAATCCGAATGGGAATTAAGCCGACAAACTAATAATCCTAATTATCAAGGCGAATCTGAGATTCGAACCCACTATCATCGGATTCTGACATGGCTAAGGGAGGCAAGTCCATGCGGCAAAACTACTTATGGCAGTAGGACGCCTGGTTTATATGTACTTGTATACTAAAACATCGAAAACATTTTACAGCAAAGAAAAGAATTTTGAGATTTCCAAGCTAAAACAAATTGTTGTGAGTGAGTGAGTGAGTATGGTTTTACGCCGCTTTTAGCAATATTCCAGCAATATCACGGCGGGGGACACCAGAAATGGGCTTTACACATTGTACCCATGTCGGGATTCGAACCCGGGTCTTCGGCGTGACGAGCGAACGCTTTAACCACTAGGCTACCCGACCGCCCCTCATTGTTGTGTATATATGTGTATATATATAATATTATATATGCACTCTTATACCCAACAATCATTTTTTAACTGGGATTTGTATAATAAAACATCCAAAACATCGAAAGTACATTTAAACCAGAGGAAACAGGTTTATGTATATTCCTCTTGAATTACGTCAGATGAGATGCAATGATAAAAACATAATTGTTCAACGACTTATCATCAAATCCATGTTAAATATTAAATAATCTATTTCGTTTCGCAGAAAGTTCCCGATTCGTTTGGCAATAAGTCTGCCATTCATTAAACACCATTCATCCCTCGGGTTATCAGTTAAGGACGAGATATTTTTTCAAGTCATGACAACCACTTAATTGAAGGAATTCCTGCCTCAACTACTTTATAGCAGGCTAAAGCCTAAAACACACGTGACAGATATCGTTAGAGAATTTCTTGCAGCAGGCGGCGTTGTTACTGCTTTATCACAAGACACGAAACCCGGCTTGGGAAAATTCCCTTTTTTGTTTATTTGTTTGTTTCTTATTTTACGCCGCACTCAGAAATATTCTAGCAATATGACTGTGGTCTGTAAATAATCTAGTCTCGACCAGACAATCAAGTGATTGACATCATGAGATGAACTGGTAGTGATTCAAGTCTTCTATCCCGTCTATTTAGTAACATATTTCCAACTTGTTTCACATATTTGTGAGCTTATTAGAATTTCAAGTATGCCAATCGCCATTTGTTCTACAATGGGATGCAGCATAGAATTCCTACTTGTTAACATGTACAGTATTGTTAACCATTGTTTCCTTGCTGTGTGCACGTGGAGGCTGTCTGTAAGTTTCTGAGATCACCACTGCGGGAGAGTTTGGGGAGCTATCAGTTCGATTAAACATTTACATGTTTTGATAAAGAATACATTCAGGCAAACCGTAGACACATACCACTGAGTTAGACATGTTCAACAACTATCTACATATCCACTATTCACCATCCCCTTACAGAAACAGGAGGCACGGGTGGCCCAGTCGTCTAAGGCGCCGCGATTCGCTGTGCAGAGTTGCGTCCCTTGGACACGCCAGAAACCTATGATTGTGGGTTCGAATCCCGGTTCGCCCGATTATGTTTCTAGGTTTATCAGCACGTGGTAAACGTCTGAGACCTGCATCACTTCAGGGATTCCTCCCACATTGAGCTGACACGCCGTGATATAACTGGAATACTGTTAAAAGCGGCTCACCCTTACAGAAACAGTGTAATATACAGAAACATCCACATATCAATCCTCCAGTCAACCAATCAAACCCCCCTAAACATTAAACCCCTGTAGTATTTGAAACAACCACTTGGTGTACCTGTCAGTCCCACTCACATTCTGACCCCCAACCAGTGTTGAACATCACTGTCCATATGTCCTCGCATCATTTCCATTCAAACATCAACCAATCATCCATCCAAATACATGTACTACCATTCTCTCTGTAACTGTAATGACAGAAAACCATCTATAATGCCATCTAAAATACCCATTATGCATATCGGGAAGATGTTAACGTCCATGGGGGAATCGTTAAGGGTGTGAGTGTTTATACTCCCTGGATAATGAGTGGAATATTTAAATTCAACATTTACTGTTGTGATGTAACGTCAAAATAGTTATAGTCAAATGATTAATAAAAGTACGGGTATTGTCATTTTCTAACACACACTCTTGGGACGAACGATTGTCAAACATCTAATATTAATATAAGAAGTATTTTCAAACGATATTGTTTGATAGCTGACATGGGCCTTGAATGGGTTAACCAGATGTGTCTGATATAACCATATACTTTGTCGACATATTGGAAAATAGATTCATTGGAGAGTTTCCGTAGTTGAAATAGCTGGGTGTCATGTTCAGAGTGATGGTATGGGGCGTACCAACAGTTAACCATGTCATATTTTCACTTGGTGTCGAACGCCAAATTCATCGATTGTGCAAAATGGATTTAAGTTTGAAAAATATTACGCAACATTATCTTTTTGGCTTAAAAAATCGATACACCTCACACCTTAAACGCAGGAAACGTGAGTACCAAGACATAGTCACACTCACTCACATCATCACTACCCTAAATTAACCTACCTTCACTTCCACCCTCTCACTAAACCAACACTCAAGTACAAACCAGTCTCCACAAATAGTTGCAACCTTCAAGAACAACAGACTCCTTCACCGAAATATAATTATTTACACTCACTCCATCATTCGTCATCACTCGCCCCTTTCCGTAACATGCACGAAGACTCGTCCACCTATCCATGACAATACAGCAAACCAATGCGCGTGCAGATTGAAGTACTTCGATCAAAATTACCCCGAGTGCTTAAATCAATCATCGCTGTATGGGATCGTTAATAATCGTGAAAAATTGGCATCGTCATTTTGACATTACGAAGAACATCGATAACGAATAGTGTTGCATGAATTGTAGTTGTTTATACAGATAGGTCATGCACGGCGAGAGATTGAAATCCAGACACGTGCGTTTGTTTACGTAACGGCGCACATGTTTTCCTATTGATATTTTCTCTGATGATCTATTTGGCTTTCTAAATTTATTTCAGTTAAATATTCATTTTGAATGTACTAAGACATGATAAGTATGTTTAAGTAATTGAAATATATACGAGTTCCAAACCAAATATATTCACATATAACTAATCAACTTTAATATGAAATATTGTGCTTATATTTCACTACATCGGGGATGTTGTAGCCTCGCGTTTCACGAGTCATTATTTTCTTGCCCGTTACAACTGCCATTCACTCATTCATAGACACAGCATAAACAGTCATGTTCATGTAGACAAAACATAAACAGTCATGTTCATGTAGACACAACATAAAGAGTCATGTTCATGTAGACACAGCATAAACAGTCATGTTCATGTAGACACAACATAAAGAGTCATGTTCATGTAGACACAGCATAAACAGTCATGTTCATGTAGACACAACATAAAGAGTCATGTTCATGGAGACACAACATAAACAGTCACGTTCACGTAGACACAACATAAACAACCATATTCACATAGACACAACATAAACAGTCGTGTTCATGTATTTACAATATAAATAAATAGTGTTCATGTAGACACAACATAAACAGCCATGCTCATGTAGACGCAACATAAATAGCCATGTTCGTGTAGACACAACATAAACAGTCGTGTTCATGTATTTTCAACGTAAATCAATAGTGTTGATGTAGACACAACATAAACATCCATGTTCACATAGACACAACATAAACATCCATGTTCACATAGACACAACATAAACATCCATGTTCACATAGACACAACATAAACAGTCATTTCATGGAGACACAACATAAACAGTCATGTTCACATAGACACAACATAAACAGTCATATTCATGTAGACACAACATAAACAGTCATGTTCATGTAGACACAACATAAACAGTCATGCTCATGTAGACACAACATAAACAGTCATGCTCATGTAGACACAACATAAACAGTCATGTTCATGTAGACACAACATAAACAGTCATGCTCATGTAGACACAACATAAACAGTCATGCTCATGTAGACACAACATAAACAGTCATGTTCATGTAGACACAACATAAACAGTCATGTTCATGTAGACACAGCATAAACAGTCATGTTCATGTAGGCACAACATAAACAGTCATGTTCATGTAGACACAGCATAAACAGTCATGTTCACATAGACAACACAAACAGTCATGTTCACATAGACACAACATAAACAGTCATGTTCATGGAGACACAACATAAACAGTCATGTTCATGGAGACACAACATAAACAGTCATGTTCATGTAGACACAACATAAACAGTCATGTTCACATAGACACAGCATAAACAGTCATGTTCACATAGACACAGCATAAACAGTCATGTACACATAGACACAACATAAACATCCATGTTCACATAGACACAACATAAACAGTCATGTTCACATAGACACAACATAAACAGTCATATTCATGTAGACACAACATAAACAGTCATGTTCATGTAGACACAACATAAACAGTCATGCTCATGTAGACACAACATAAACATTCATGCTCATGTAGACACAACATAAACAGTCATGTTCATGTAGACACAACATAAACAGTCATGCTCATGTAGACACAACATAAACAGTCATGCTCATGTAGACACAACATAAACAGTCATGTTCATGTAGACACAACATAAACAGTCATGTTCATGTAGACACAGCATAAACAGTCATGTTCATGTAGGCACAACATAAACAGTCATGTTCATGTAGACACAGCATAAACAGTCATGTTCACATAGACAACACAAACAGTCATGTTCACATAGACACAACATAAACAGTCATGTTCATGGAGACACAACATAAACAGTCATGTTCATGTAGACACAACATAAACAGTCATGTTCACATAGACACAGCATAAACAGTCATGTTCACATAGACACAGCATAAACAGTCATGTACACATAGACACAACATAAACATCCATGTTCACATAGACACAACATAAACAGTCATGTTCACATAGACACAACATACACAGTCATGTTCATGTAGACACAACATAAACAGTCATGTTCATGTAGACACAACATAAACAGTCATGTTCACATAGACACAACATAAACAGTCATGTTCATGTAGACACAACATAACAGGCATGTTCATGTAGGCACAACATAAACAGTCATGTTCATGTAGACACAGCACAAACAGTCATGTTCACATAGACACAACATAAACAGTCATGTTCATGTAGACACAACATAAACAGCCATGCTCATGTAGACACAACATAAACAGTCATGTTCACATAGACACAACATAAACAGTCATGTTCACATAGACACAACATAAACAGACGTGCCAATGTAAACAACATAAACAGTTGTACACATGTAGATACAACACAAAACAGCCATGTTCACGTAAACACAATATAAACAGCCATGTTCACGTAGACATAATATACACAGCCATGTTCATGTGTACACAGCATAAACAGCCGATGTAGACAACATATACAGTCGTGGTCATGTATATACAACATAAACATTTGCATATTCAAATGGGCATGTTTCGCTTAACGAGATAGCCATGATATGACTGAATTCGGGCAATCTATCATAGTACACAATCCCCTCGTACCATTTGCACTTATTTCTGTCAAGAGCGATAACTACACAACGCGTAGTTTATTAATTCGTTTCCCACTTTACGCCACGAGTTGTTCAGACCCGTGTAAATGTTGTGGAGTTGGACAGATGGTCGATGCCTGTCGACAATCATTGGTGACCACGATACAGGAAGGGGATGGTGTGCTCAGAGCTCTATGTCAACACATTGCATTTGTCACAGAATGAGTGTACACGCCGACAAGAGCGACTCAAGTCTGGTGCTGTCAGACAGGGCGGACCCCGAGGGTGGAGGGGGAGAAGGGGGAGTCGCCGAGACGGCAGTAGTGGAGGGAGTTGCTGATAACAAGGCCTACATCCCAGACGCCAATGGTAAGGTGCTGGAGCAGACGGAGATGCAGAGGTAAGAGACATTCATTATTCCGATGACAGGTATAACAGATAGCGTTAAATATTTTAGTGTAGATCGTCATAGATATTTATAGCAAAACAACATCGTTTTTGGCAATGATTTCAGTTTCGCTATATTCAAGATGGCTGAGATAGTTTTGTAAATAATATGAAGACCTCGACTTTTAATTAGCCTGGATTTATCTTTAGCATTCCTTTCCGATACATGATGGCATGCATGTACAAGTTAGAGGTACATTTTCTATATAATTCAGAGAACGTATTATTAATGTGCCAATTTGTATCCCATACGTTTATGAAATGTAAAAAAGAGCAACATTACCACTTCCATAACCATAACATATTTCTGCTAAGAGCAGAGGCCGTTGGACCATTCCGACTATATCATTAAGACGTATATCATTAAGACTGTATGTCATTATTCCGTATAAGAAATACATTGTTTGTGTTGGGCGTTCGAGGTAAATGTGTGCATGTCACCCAGGCATGGTGTCACTTTAGGTTCATAGTTTATCATAGTATATCTTAGATTGGAAAGTTACGTCCCATCTTCTGGAGGCAAGGAAACTGGACTTTTGAAGTTAATTCCCTTCCCTCGAGAAGATGTTAACGTCCATGGTGGAATCGTTAAGGGTGTGAGTGTTTATACTCCCTGGATAATGAGTGGAATATTAATTTATATTCAACATTTACTGTTGTAATGTAACGTCCAAATAATTATAGTCAAGGTTTTTTTTATTGTATATATTGGACAAAACTGATACATAAAAGTACAGGTATTGTCATTTTTTCTAACACACACTCTTGGGACGAACGATTGTCAAACATCTAATATTAATATAAGAAGTATTTCAAACGATATTGTTTGATAGCTGACATGGGCCTTGAATTGGTTAACCAGATGTATCTGATATAACCATATACTTTGTCGACATATTGGAAAATAGATTCATTGGGACGTACCAACAGTTAAGCATGTCATATTTTCACTTGGTGTCGAACGCCAAATTCATCGATTGTGCAAAATGAAATTAAGTTTGAAAAATATCGCGCAACATTATCTTTTTGGCTTAAAAAATCGATACATTTCCGATAAAACTGCGATTTAAATACAGACCGTGACATCCTATTTCTGCATTGGTGACAATTGTTCACGACGTCACGAAGTAACAGCATTTGGCCATTAGAACAACATGTTGACAAAAGTGATGCTTCCTTGTGATTCTGTACACAAGTTTTACATTTTTGAAAAGACAGCGGAATACATAGAATAAACAGTCTTGGAATTAACTAGTTTGGAACCCAAACATGTGGCAACGCACTGACATGTTGTTGTTTCTCGTTACTTGTTATTCTCTCAGAGACCCTGCAACAAAGAATGGTTCAGCCGTTTATTATCGGGAACTGACCACGAATTAGAACTGTTGATGCCCAACTGAGAAATCATTCTTGTGTTATCGCACGGTTTTAAATGCGCCCTCCATGTTTCAAGGGGTGTTTATCGTCAATTTGCGCACACCATCTACCAAGTGAAATGATAAACATCCTCCAAACACGACTCAGCTAATGACATCAGAGCTTTGCAGTTGATAAGCACGATACAGACTCCCATTTTGTCGAGAACAATCAGGTGCAGCTCTGCATGTCATTGTGTACCCTCATCTTGCTGTCTTATCTCGATGTTTGACCTTCGTTTCAAGATAGAAAAAAAACTTGTTATTTTTATTAATGTTATGGCTCTTGATTTTATAAGCTTAGCAATACCATTGCGATGACGTATCATCCTATACTGAAAAGACCCAAGAGAAATCAAGGTTCGCTGTGTATAGTGGAACCCTTTTAGTCCGGACCCAGTTAGTCCGGACACCCCACATTGTGGGCGTTTCCTGTGGGAAACATTTATTAATTATATTGTTATAGATGGGGTATTACTCAATACTCATTATTTATTAATCCTGATGTTGTTTATTCTAACGATCTCAAAGAACAGTCCCGCTTTTGTGGTTTACTAATATCTGAAAAAAAATCCATATCGAGTCATGACAGTACCATGACGATAACAACGTCACAACGGATTATTATAGTTTTTGTTTGTTTGTTTGTTTGTTGTTTAACGCCCCGCTCAGTCATATTCCAGCTATATGACGTCTGTCTGTAAATGATCTAGACTTCCAATGATTGACATCATGAGCATCGATCCACCAAATATTTGGATACGATGACCTGAAACAAACCTAGCCCCTGGGGATTCCAGCTTAGAATAGATCTACAGCAATCTATGCCGGTTGTAAGAGCCGATATAGCTGAAATAGTGCTGCGTGACTATTGTTTGTTAAACAACAAAGTAACAATCAAACAAACAATCTACCAAGTCAGCGAGCCTGATCCCCGGATCCATTTAGTCACTTCTTACGGGGGGCACGGGGGGCCCAGTCGCCTAAGGCGCCGCGATTCGCTGTGCAGAGTTGCGTCCCTTGGACACGCCAGAAACCTATGATTGTGGGTTCGAATCCTGGTTCGCCCCGATTATGTTTCTAGGTTTGTCAGCACCATACCCGTGCTCATGGGTTTCACCGAAGTGGTAAACGTCTGAGACCTGCATCACTTAGGGCTTTCCTCCCACATTAAGCTGACACGCCACGATATAACTGGAATACTGTTAAACGCGGCGTTAAACCCAACTCACTCACTCACTCACTCACTCACTTCTTACGACAAGTATGGGATGATGGGGACCTATCTCCTTACCCGAAAACCCCATATTGTGCCATACAAGGCATAACCAATACAAACTAATCATGACAAGTACGCCCGCAAACAACAACTAATATAAATGTACAGTAAAATCTAGAAATAAGCAACTCGAGAATACTATTATTTTCACGACGATTTAAACGATATGATCCCAGCAGTATGGTTTAATATCCACACTCCGCTTGTACCAAACTACATATGTGGTGTAACTGTTTGGTCCCAGTTGACTTGTCAGTTATATTGTGTAATATCGATACTCCGGTTATTCCGAACTACATATGTCGTGTAACTGTTTGGTCCCAGTTGACTTATCAGTTATATTGTGTAATATCGATACTCCGGTTGTTCAGAACTACATATGTCGTGTAACTGTTTGGTGCCAGTTGACTTATCAGTTATATTGTGTAATATCGATACTCCGGTTATTCCGAACTACATATGTGGTGTAACTGTTTGGTCCCAGTTGACTTATCAGTTATATTGTGTAATATCGATACTCCGGTTGTTCCGAACTACATATGTCGTGTAACTGTTTGGTCCCAGTTGACTTATCAGTTATATTGTGTAATATCGATACTCCGGTTATTCCGAACTACATATGTCGTGTAACTGTTTGGTCCCAGTTGACTTATCAGTTATATTGTGTAATATCGATACTCCGGTTGTTCCGAACTACATATGTCGTGTAACTGTTTGGTCCCAGTTGACTAATCAGTTATATTGTGTAATATCGATACTCCGCTTGTCTCGAAGTACATTTATCGAATAACGGTTTGGTCCATGAAGTTCTGTCACCTCTGTGGTCTAATATCCACGCTCCGCTTGTCTCGAACTAGGGATAGCTCGAGCTATGTTCGGTGCTCCTGAGAACCTTACTGTTTGTTCAAACACCTCTCTATTTATCGACACAAACCGTCGGTATTGCGATGATACTGAGGTAAAGGTACCACGCCATGTAATGCTCGGGAGAGTTATATCAACAAACTCGACTTTGTATTATGGAGGGTCAAACACCGAAGAATATAAAGTTAACTGTTTGGAGTTGAAGTTAAGAAGTCCTGGAAATTATCCATGTGTTTTACTGAGAAAGTGAACATGGCGTGTTTTGGCATGGATAGGCATGTACAGTGCATGGCTTCTCTCTACTCGTGAAGAAAAAAACTTGATGCTGTATTCAGAGAATGTTTCTCGTTCATTACAGTGAAATAAATATGATAGGGCATCTTGCGATGTGATAGCACTGCTTGTTTTAAGGAAAAGAATAATTCACCTTGGTATCACATAGCACGAAATACCTGAACCATCAACCAGTGCATTATCACTTGCAAAGGAAATGCCGCGACGGGACAGGTGATTGCGGAACGATACTTGTAAACACAGCCAGCGTTTCGTCTCTAGTGTGAGTGAGTGTTTTTGGTTTAACGCCGCATTGAACAGTATTCCAGTCATATCACTGCGTGTCAGTTTCTCAGCTGATGCAGATCTCAGACGTTTACCACTTTGGTTGACTCACCTAGAAACATAATAGGGTCGAGTCGGGATTCGAACCCACGATCATATGTTTTTGGCGAGCCAAAGGGACGCAACTCTGCACAGCGAATTGCGGCGCGTTATACGACTGCGACACCCTTGCCTCAGTTTCGCTTGAAAGTTAGGAATATTATAACCATATTATAGTACGCTATCCTCGTTGTACGATGGTCAATATGCGAAAACCTTGACCCGAGAACCCGACCGCTGAGGTGGTCTGGCAGGATCATATCATTCGTTTTGTTTTACCGAAATTAACTTCAAAATTTATGAAGTCTTCAAACCGTTTTCTGTTTCATTACAGTAGCTTAGCACCGAACCGTGAAATGTTAAAACCAGACGCCATCTTGTTTTCTAGCAGACAAGTCAATATTCATCACGTGACATGTCAATACTGATCATGTGACGAGTCAATATTCGAGGTCAGTGTCAGTGTCAGTCTATTTTTAATAGATGCGTAACACACTGTCATACAGACTATTCGACCCCCTGTCTTTTTTGACAAGGCTATTTGCCCCAGAATCTCCAAATGCTATATGACAATGGCAAGAGAAATGGTGAGATATCCTCGATTATCCAGTGTACTGGACACATTCGCCACCACAACTGCTCTTCTACACATTCCCCATCTCTCCTATCACAAACGTGGCACATAATACATTTCGCTTAGGAGCTTGAAAACAACAACCAATCAGAATACCTCTTCTG